GTTGCATTCCTACACACCTGGAGAACCCCAGCGTGGAGAAGGCTAGTGAGGCCTGTCATGTGATGGACCATGAGATCCAGGACAGAAAGCCTCTGGCTGCTGTCACTTATAGTTGACCCTTGAGTGTCTTCGTAGCCAGTGCTGTTCCTGATGCTGTTAATTTCTCACTCCTGTTGCATCAGCCAATCAAGGAAGTGGAAGATCCTGTGGTGAGGCTGCTTTTTTTTGAAAGCAAACTGTGGTGAGTAAACTACATGAACAGCAGAGCAGTGAAACTGCTAGCCCAGCTGCACCAGCCGTGAAGAGAGACTTGGATTCTGGGGCCACAAGCTAAGCTGGAGATGGACTACTGGCATATGATGGGCTGCACCTCACAAAGAACAGGAAGCAGATGTTTGGCCACCACATGAAAAACATCAGGAGAGCTTTAAACTAAAACCTATAGGGGAGGGAGATGTGCACTATGGTATACCATCACCTGGCAAAGACTCATGTGTTTCAACAGAGGAAAAACCTCAAGCAGGGCCCAGCACCAGTCTCCCCAGAAACATAGAAAGAAAACCAGGGCACAGCAAGAATGAACTTCGATGTCTCTACACCAATGCCCAGAGTATGGGAAACAAGCAACATGAGCTTGAGCTCATAGTACACAAGGGGAATTATGATCTTATAGGAATAACAGAATTTTGGTGGGATGACTCACATAACTGAAACTCTACAGTTGATGGATACAGCCTGTTCAAGAAAAATAGGACAAAAAGGAGGGTGGAGTTGCACTATATGTGAGAGAGACATATATCTGCACAGAAATTCAAGAAGAACTTAGTAGCCCCATTGAAAGCCTCTGGCTAAATTTAAAGGGAGCAAAAAATAAAAGTATAGTTGTTGGCATATATTACCGTCCACCCAGTCAAAAAGAGGACAAAGATGCAACCTTAGAAAAGCAACTCGCCAGCATTCCCAAGAAGAATGATGTAGTCATCATGGGAGACTTCAATTTCCCTGATATATGCTGGGAGACAAATTCTGCCAAGCATGGCCTCTCCAAGAGATTCCGGACATGTGTTGCCGACAGCTTTCTGCAGCAGAAAGTAGAGGAAGGTACGAGAGGATCAGCTGTACTCAAGTTAATTCTAACTAACAGGAATGGGCTGGTGGACAAAATTACAACCATGGGAATTCTGGGGGAAAGCAACCATGTAATACTTGAATTCTCAGTTACAAAGGAGACAAAGGATAACTGGAGCCAAACTAGCATCTTGGACTTCAAGAAAACCAACTTTAACAAACTCAGAAAAATGATAAGTGAAGTGCCATGGCAACACACCCTTAAGGGGAAAGGTGTCTAAGAGGGATGGAAAAGCTTGAAAAGGAAGATCCTCGGAGCACAACTACAAACAATTCCATCAAGAAAAAGGTGTAGAAGTCAGCAGAGGAAGCCCACGTGGCTCCACAAAGGGTTAAATGACAGTCTGAAAGAAAAAAGAACATGTACAGGAAGTGGAAACAGGGCCAGGCCATGAAAGAATAGAAACAAATAGCAGGGAATTGCATCAGGAGGGCTAAAGCAGGAAATGAACGAAGAATAGCAAAGGATGCTAAGCACAACAAGAAAGCTTTCTTCAGATACATCCAGAACAAAAGACATGAGAAAGAGAAGGGTGTCCAGCTACTTTGAAGTGGATTATAGAGTGATAACAGATGACAAAGAAAAGGCAGAGGCCCTCAATTCCTACTTTCCTTCTGTCTTCTCCCACAGGGAAATCTGCAATCAAGAGGAAGTTCAAGGTGGAAGTGAGAGATGGCAGCCCAAGATTGACAGACAAATGGTCAAGGAATACCTAGGTGGAATAAACACTTTCAAATCTCCAGGGCCGAATGAACTCCATCCGAGTCATAAAAGAGCTAGCAGAGACACTCTCAGAACCACTGGTTATCATCTTCGATAAATCTTGGAAAACAGAAGTGCCAGACGACTGGGGAATGTTGTCCCTATCTTCAAAAAGGGGGAAAAATATGAACCTGGGAAAGTTAGTCTGACATCAATCCCTGAAAAAATTCTGGAGCAAATTATTAAAAATTCATCTGCAAGCATCTTGAAAAACATGCAGTGATTAATAGAAGCCAGCATAGATTTATCAAAAATAAATCCTGTCAGACTAATTTAATCTCAGTTTTTGACTGGGTAACTTCCCAAATGGACAAAGGGAACACTGTGGACATAATCTACCTAGACTTTAGCAAAGCTTTCGACATAGTGCCACATGACATTCTGATAAGCAAATTAGCAAAAACTGGACTAGATGGAAAAACTATTAGGTGGATCCAAAATTGGCTGCTAAATAGGTCACAAAGAGTGCTCACCAATGGCACCTTTTCAAATTGGAGGTAACTAGTGGGGTGCCACAGGGTTCAGTCCTGTGCCCAGTGCTCTTCAACATCTTTATTAATGATCTCGTAGATGAGGAAGTACAAGAAAAGATAATCAGGGCAAGTGCCAAGTCCTCCACCTAGGAAAAAGAAACCAAAGGCATCGATACAAGATGGGGAATACGTGGCTCAACAGAACTGAACAAAAAAAGATCTTGGAGTAATTGTGGACAATAGGCTTAACATGAGCCAACAATGCAATGCAGCTGCCAAAAGGGCAAATGCTATTTTGAGATGCATTAACAGAAGTATTACTTCCAAATCACGAGAAATTCCTCTATACTCCTCACTAGTCAGATCTCACCTGGAATACTGTGTCCAGTTCTGGGCACCAAGATTTAAGAAAAATGCAGGTAAAATAGAAAGGGTCCAGCAGAGAATGACAAAAATGATCCAGGGTTTGAAAACACTGCCCCATGAGGAGAGACTGAGGGAACTGGGCATGTTCAACCTTGAGAAGACTGGGGGGGGGGGAGGCATGATATCCCGCTGTAAGTACCTTCAAGGCTGTCACAAAGAGGAAGGTCAAGATCTCTTCTTGCTAATGCCAGAGTGTAGGACATGGAATAAGCAATTCAAGTTGCGGAAACCCAGATTCAGGCTGGACAGCAGGAAAAGCTTCCTCACTGTCATAGCAATAGGACAGTGGAACCAACTGCCTGGAGAGGTGGTGGGCTCTCCCACACTGGAGACATTCAGGAAGAACCTGGACAGCCCTCTGAGGGTGCAAATGTGTGTCCTGCAACAGCAGGAGGTTGGACTCGATGGCCTTCATGGCTCCTTCCAGCTCTTCTGAGATTCTATGAATATATAGAATATTCATATGTATGAGTATACACACATTCATTTCTGTTATTCCTCATCATGGCTCACATGCCAGTTACGTTCTTCACAGCTGTTCGGTGAGTGGGGCATGTGCAGTGAGGTACCCCCAATCCCTCACCTCCTCCCTACTCATTCACCATCAGCACTGGCTGCAAGCAATGTTCACGGGAATTTTAGGACTCCTGTTACTGATGCCCCAACATGCAGCACAGTGGCTAGCTGCTGTCCCCGCTTGTCCACCTGTATGTCACTGCAAGGTGCACTGCTCAAGCTCACGCTTGCTTGGGTGGCCGTGGGAAGATTGCCCTTCCCATCTCTACTCACCTGGGTTGCTGATGGTTTTCAAGGTTGCAGTGGGATGATGGGAGTCACAGCCCAACGCCTCTGGAGGGCACCAGGTTGGGCAAGGCTGCTCTGGAGCTTTAAGGACCTGGAGAACACAACCCACTGCAGCCCTCGCATTGCTGGCTGCCTCTGCTGAAACAGGATGCAAGCGGAGGTTTGGAAGTGGCGCTTACCCCCTGGTGGCCAGCCGCAAGAAGTGCTCACCCACTTAACAACTTTGCCTAAGTCACCAGGGTCCAAAGACAACTGGCTCACGGCCAGGTGGGCTCAGGGCAGCTGCTTTTCAGGCTTGGCACGGGCCTCAGTTCATGCCAGCAGCACGCTGATAACATAAAAAGCAAATAAGGATGCAATTTAGAAGGCATTCTCTCTTTCAGAAGCAATTAGGGCCAATCTACTGCCTTGTGGGCCTCCTGTTTAAACAGTAAAAAGCCAAGTCACCCTGACCTTGAAAAGGTTCTAAGGTTGCATGCACAGTGAGCAGAGATGTAACCAAACCCTTCCAGCATAGGGCACATGATAGAGATTTCTTCTTCTCTTGCACACAGGTGAGGTAACCCTGGAACACATGTGAACACGCACACAATTCTGCAACAAGCCCAAGAAAGGCAATGAGCCCAAGAAAGGCATGCTACCAAATCCTCTGGAGTTGTCAAGGAGAAGTAGGAGGTGCAGCACATGGGGTGGGACAGACAAGGGAGGATTCCATTTTGAGCAATAAAAATGGCTTTGTTTCAAAAAAAAAAAAAGCACAGCCATACACACTTGGTCCTGGAGAAAGAACCATCCAAAATGCTATTTTGCCAGGCTGCCCAAGCCAGTAAGTGGAGCATGCAGAAATCCCCAGCTTCAAACTGCAGTGATATCTCCAAGTAGGCCTTTTGTCTAACAGCTTCCTCAACACTTTTCATTAACTATGCTCTTGACTTCTTGAGCTTTGTGCTACCTTCCCTAACTTATACTATACAATCTAGCAGAGCTTCTGGCTTTGTTTCAAAGAAGCTGCGGCTTCCTGGGAACCTCCCATTTAAATATAAGCTACATTTGATTTCACAGCAGCCACCATTTCACTTGGTTCAACGCTCAGCGATTGTGCCAGCATTTCGGATTCTGTTAAAGGTTGCTTCCGCTCTGGTCGGTTTGCTGACCAGCTGCTCTAGGAGAGTTTAAACACATGCAAGAGCGAGCCAGAGGCCAGTGCCCACAGTCAATTCAAAGCACGCCACAAAGATCGAACCACCGAGATCCGGACTCAGATTCCATTCAGTCTCTGACAACTCCCCACCGAGCCTGTTATCGTATGGCTGTGTGTCGGGTGCCGAGCGCTGCCTGAGCCATCCTGCCCTGCGCAGGACCCCAAGAATGCCTCCCTTGTGGACAAATATGAGACGCTCTGAGCATTGTTTTAAGTAGTTCACGGATGCTTTATTTCCACACATCACTTTACTGGCAGTACGACCCATCGCTCATCACTCGCCACACATACACAGTTATGGTCCCTTTTCTACTGCAGACGCGGCACAACACAATTACATGAATGGGTGGGGGCAGCAGACCGGGGGCTGGAGGTGTGGATGGAGGGTGCACTGGAGGGTGGCAAAAGGGAGATGATGGGAGCTCTCTGCGCTTTTATTCCCCCCACCCCTTTTCAGAAAAGCAGCCCAGCCCCCACCTGGGAGTTCTCCGCCCTCCCCCTCTTTCTTCCATGCAGGGAAAAGGAGGACTAGAAATCCAAAACAGATGCCGAATTCAAGAGTCTTCCTCCCCACCAGCCTCCAACTAAGGGTTAAGTGGCAAGATTTGCTCTGAGCAAGTCATTGATTCAGGGAACTGGCTGAAGAGAGATGAGCCCGGAAGAGTAGTGGCAGGATCCCGCAAGGAGAGCTTTGACACAGCCTCCCAGCTCTTCCCCGGTGTCTCATTCCAAGGACTGCAACATGAGGAGCTGCTTCAAGACCTTCGTCTGGCTGGTCTCACGGATCTCGCCGGCTAGGAACATCTCATCCACTACAGTGTAAACCTGCAGGGAGAACATGATCGTCTTCTGAGAAATGACCGCTCTGCACAGCCACCAGAGTGCTCTTCCTTTACACTGTCTTGCTGAGGGTGCAAGGCAGCTCCAGCATCTGGCAGGCCAGGCCTAGAAGGAGAAAAGCCTCGACGTGGCCTCCCCCTGCAAGGGTCCTGGCACTGCCTGGCTTGTTCTCCAGCTCTACCCGGCCCAGACTGGCTCCAGCCCAGCCTGGAGAGGCCTCTCATCACGCATCCTGTGGCCCAGTGAGGTCTCATCAGTCTGCCACTTTCCTCTTTCCCACTCGCCTTGACATACGCACCACACCCCGTGTGCTGATCCCGACCCTCCACTGCTGGAGTGGCTCTGCTCCTGCACGCTTATGTGGCACATAAGAAGAGCTGTGCTGGATCAGACCGAGGGTGTATCTAACCAGCATCCTGTGCACACAGTAGCCAACTGGCTGTCCCCGTGGGAAGCCCAAAAGCAGGCGAGGGGTATGGCAGCACCCATCCGCCTGGGCTCTCCAGCCAGAGGTTTGCAGAGACATTCTGCATCCAGTATAAGAAAGAGAACAAAATCATGCACTAGGATCGGGGAGGCTTTTCCTCCAGAAGTTGCCCGACTCTCTTTTAGTGTAGCCATCACTGCATCCCATGGCAGCCAGCATAACCTGGGGCTGTGTGAGCTGCTTTCTAACAGTCCCGAATCTCCCACCACCAGTGGAATGCCACACTTGTGGCCTCACAATTCCCTGCCTCCACCTCTGCTTTTCTCGGGTGCCACTGAATGAAATGCACTGCCCTCTGCAAAGGGCTGCCTTAGATGGCTGCCCAGCGCCCCCTTGTGGCAGGGCCAGCACTGACAGGACATCCAGCCTATTCTTTGCAGGTGCTGTGCCCTGGCCACGCCCCAAGAACCAGCACCTTCCAAATTCCCGAATGGGAAAGCCGCAGGCAAGGACCCACCTTGTAGAAGTTGAACACGAGGTCAAGCTCACAGACGTTGTGGAAATACTCATTCAATACCTGGGTAAAGAGGAGAAAGTCTGCTTTGCACGTGGGACAGCTGCTGTGGGCAAGCAGGGGTGCCATTGCCAAGAGCTCCTCCACATGCCTCACTGTGCGGATACAGCGTTCAGAGGTGGGCCAGTCTTACCTTCGATCCCTGACACCTCCAGAGAGGAAGGGGCTGGGGCAGGGAAAGGGAAAGGAATTTTTGGAAGCCTGCATCCTGTGGGGGCACATTCAGAATATGTGATGGCTGCATGCACTGTAGCCCCACCCCCAAAGCCCCATCAGTGCTAAACAGCAGGCAGGCGCAGCAAAAACCTCTTCTCCATACAAATGGGACCTTTCTTGCAAGGGGATTTCTGGAGGCACCCACAGGGTGTGGGAAAGAGGAGGAATACCTCTGGACCAACGGTAAGCATCTGGGGGAAATGCTACCTTCAGCTGTGTTTTTCAAAATCTGAAGTACTGAGAAATGTACAGGAGTGATTGATTATGCAGTAACCACACAGGGTCCAAAACGCATCAACTTGTGGTCATGCGCTGAGCGAGGGCCTTGCTGCCCCTTCCAACACCAGCCTCCTACGATCTATGCTCTGTGCAGGAACTTGTTCAGCCCAATGCTGCTAATACTCACCTCCACAAAGTTGTGAATGGCTTCTAGGTAAGCCAGGTTGTTGTCGTTCACATCCACGCAGATACAGAAATAGAGCCCTGCGTAGCGCCTGTAGATGATCTTGAAGTTTCGGAACTGAAAGGAAAGGGGTGGCAGTGAGCCACTGCAGCGGAGACAGCCCTGGAGGGCAGGGCAGGGCAGAGCTGCACAGCACCTGCTCCACGCAGTGACCCAGCGGGAAGCCCACAAGCAGCCAGGGGTGCAAAATCCCCTTCTAGCTTGTGCCTCCAGCAACTGGGGCACGGAGTCACTGCCTCCGATAGTGGAGGGGCATTCAGCCATGCGGACTAGCAGCCCGTGATGGCCTCATCTTTCGTGATGCATCCTTTTCTTTTTGCAGTCAAGTTTTGATACTGGAGCTTTTATTGATGTTTTGTACTTGAAGCTGCCCCAAGAACCCTGTGGAGGAATACAAGCCCTGAGCACACACACAACAGGCATCCCACCACAGAGATGCATCAAGAAGATCTGCTGAAACTCGAGCCATCCAGCCAAGCCGCACGGCATCCAGCTCGGGGCCCTCTGAGATTTCCCCTGCGCAAGATCACATCCGCCACATGGCCTTACCTCAACAAAGTTGGTGTGCTTTGCATCCCTCACAGTGACCACTGCATGGACCTCCTCAATGAGCTTTTGCTTCTCGTCGTCATCAAACTGCATGTACCACTTGGCCAGGCGTGTTTTGCCAGCCCGGTTCTGGATCAGAATAAAGCGGATCTGTGGCAGGAAGAAGCAGACCAGTCAAAGGTGCCTGGGATTCAGGCTGCATTCCCCAGACTATTGATGCCCAAGGCACCTTTACCTGTATTGCAAACATTCTCGGAAGCACACCTTGCTCTTTGCTATAGTGAGTGTGAACAGGAGTAAAGGACACTTTTCCTCAGAGGCTGCCACCGAGTCGCTGTTTCAAGCACACTCCTTGGGTCAGGATACAAGCACAAGGTAGACCATTGCTTGGACTCGCAAAGGACCGTTTCCCTCAAAAGCCACGGAATCTACTGAGGCTTCTGCAATCATTTGCCCCCCACCCAGACCGACACAGCACATTTGGCCACCCTCAGCACTTGTGCCTGGAAAAGACACAGTTAGAGCAGGTGTTCACAGAGAGACATACCAGGTGCCCCTCCTCAAGGGACCCAGCTCACTGGTGCATTTATGTTTTCCCTTCACAACACACTTGTGTCCTAGAAGCACCATGGGAATGACAAGCATCTGACCTGAGTCAGACCGCTGTAGTAAGTCTAGCCTAGTGGGGTTTACTCCTAAGTAAACTCACATAGGGTTGCCACCTTACAAATGTGAACAATTCAGATGGAAAATTCACAGGGGTTCCAACTCCATTTCCTAATGTGGGGAAGGTTTGCTTCAGGAACTCCGAGTGCCTGCCTTTTTCCGGCGTTTTGTTTTTGTGCCCCTTGTCCATGATCTAGCTTCAGCTTCCTTCCTTCCACTTCGCTTGCCGCGCTTTGCACATACTGTACGACAGGGACACCCCCAAGCCTTGCCTGAAGAACAGAGCTGTCCTTTCTTGTCAGCCTCCGTGCTGAACTCCTCTTCCTTCTTGGTGTGTTCATGAGATAGGAGAGTGACCCAGCCCAGCAAAATCAGCAGAGACAAACAGCAGATGGCTTACTATCCACTCCAACATTACATGAAGATGAGTCTTCCTTGCCTGCCTCCAAGTGTGAATGGTAATCAAACTTAATCTTAAGGCACTTCTTTTTGGATTAATCAGGAAACACGTCCATGTAATTTTCCTGTTGCAGAAACTAAACAGTGACAGCTGTCCAAAAAGCTAGGTGAAGTACAAGGCAAAGGGCACCCCAACGCACATGACCACGGACACGCAGCCTTGATATGGGGCTTGGAGTGCGTTTACGTCTGATCTACTGGGGCCCTGAGCAAGCCACAGTGCAACATGGAAGGGGCAGGGAGTGTGAGTCCGATGCCACACAGAGGCACAAACCACGGGCAGCCTCTTCAGAGAGCCCTCCTCTCCCTGCTGCAGCCCCTTTCAACACCAGTCGGCCACCCATGCTCTGTACAAACAGTTCAGCAATCAGAACTTTGCCTCCCAGAGACAAAGGCCTACGATAGCCTCCCTCCAATCCAGTGCCTTCCAGATGTACTGGACCACAACTCCCATGATTCCCAGCCAGCATCACCAGCATATCTGAAGGGCACCAGGTTGGGGAAAGCTGCCCTACAAGGTAGGTGAGCCACCTATTAGCTCAAAACTTGGTGAAGAAGGTGGCTCTTGCCAGCTGCAGTCGCTTTTTTAAATATCCCAACACGGAAGGTGTCTTGACATTCGGAACCTGGCCCAGTTCACAAACACCTGCATGCCATGGAGAAGCAGGTGATCATTGCAAGCAGGGATTCAGGCCAAGATCTCAAGGCTGCAGTCCAAGCCTCCGGGGCTGAGCATCTTGCCTGCTCTTCCCAGGAGACTGTTTCCAAAGTTCATCCTTTGGTTCATCCTCGCTTCCTTTAGATTTGAAACAGGTCACATCCGGAGCTCTGCTTGAGGGGGGGCTCTTCAAACAGCCCCAGCCACCCAGACATTGCTGGACTGCAACTCCGAGGCCAATGGTGAGAGATTAAAGAGTGTGCATCTGGAGGGCAGCACATCCTTCCCCTTGCCCCACAGCATATTCAGAAGGGTGCTTTCTACTTCTTGGGAATGCAGGAGACAAAAGCAGAAACACTTGTGAAAAATGCTGACCATGAAGATAGCAAGGAAGCAGTAATTCCTCAACAGTGATAATGGGTTGAGTTATTACACAAAAGAGACTGGTTGCCTGCATTTCTTTGCATGCAACAAATACAAACAAGAGGACAGATAATACTTCCAGATTTCTGATGTGCTTGTGTAATGGATCTGCACTTCCACAGAAAAGCCACAAGGGAAATGTGTTGCACAACTACCCCCACTTCGCCCAACAGATGTTAAATACATCCTTCCTTTTAGATTTTTTTTTCTTTACCAAGAATTTATTTGGGAAGTAATGCCACAGATCTAAAGACATACAGACATATTACCCCACTTTCTCTGGACTCGCCAGGAATAGATATTTTATGAGTTTAGAGCAGAGCATAACCCAAATAATGTTTAGGACTCTGATTCTTCTGCCTACCATTAAGATTTACTCCAAATTTGAAAAAAGCCCATAGGAAAAAAATCTAGTCTCCCAGCCTACCACAAATCACGGTCACAGTTCCTTCCACAAGATCTCACATTAACATGCTTGAAGAGGAGACAATTCCAGGTGACTCAAGTAAATAAGGCAATTCAAATGGGAAAACTGTTGCCAACTCCAAAAACATGTTTTGCAAAGTCCTCATAAGAGAGTTTAATGAAGCCCTTTTTACTGGGATATAAACAATCCTACAAGAGAAATCCTACAATGTTTTACCGATTAACCAGAAACACTTTTGTTTCAGCAGGTCGGAGAGTTTTTGTCACTTAAACTGGGAGCAGTTCAAAAAGTTTATTTTTAAACATAAGTGGCAAACTTTTTTTCCAAAGAGGCACAGGGTATATTCACACACATCTTGTTCATACCTTCCTGGCTCCTCTCACTAGCTGCCAAGCGAACTAAAAACAATAGGCTTGGCCACAGCACCCAAACTCAAAATTCCAGTTTTGAGTTCCTAAGTTCACAAACTAGGGTTGCTCTGGATTATTTGTGTGCAGCAAACCAGGTGTAGACATCAAGGACACCTCTTTCTAGTTAGTTTAGCTGGTAGTAGGCAGAGCTAAGGCGGTATGGATGGTGAGATGTGCTACGGGGTGCCAGCGCTTGCTTTGCCCCCAGTAAGGCAGGCTTTTCCAGAATCCTGGCTTACCCTTCTGCCCTCCTCCCAGAGGGGAGGGCATGCCTGCAGCTTTCACTTGCAAAAACAACCGAGCTTCACAGTTCTAGGCTCCCAGCAACCGCCCCTCTGCGACCACAGAAGGCTGCCTGCCCTTCCCCTCTGTTAAACAGGCCTCAGCTGCTCTATCTGTGGCATTTTCTCTTTGGTGGATCCCACCCCACAGCCTCACTCCTAACGGCATAGCGTGACAGTGCACAGGCATCCACCTGCACATCGAGAATCGCTTTCCACAAACGGGCTTTTCTGCAGCCTCTCCTGCTTGGTAGTAACTCTGCTATCCCCCCCCCCCGCCCTAAAACTCGGGGCCCTGGCCTCTGTTTGCAGGAGGGGGATCTCCACAAAAGCACAGTACAGGTCGGTCCAAAGAGGCCCAGGCACGAAGCGCTCTGCTCAGCTCTCACATCTGCAGGCCGCTGATGTTCGCTCTGGGTCTGAATCACAGGCCTCGCACCACCAACCTACCTTACCGGACTGTTGTAAGGCAGTATTTTCCATCAAATGCATTGCCCTACAAGTCCCCCTTTGGTCTGGGGATACTAGGAGCTGCAATCCAACACAGCCTGACGACACCAAGTAGGAAAACGCGGCAGCTAGGCTGAACACAGGGAGGCGAGGTGAGAATAGGTGTGCCCCCCGCCCCCCGGGACATTCTAGACCTGCAAGTCCTAGTCTCCCTCACAGCTGGGCAGGCCTGATGGGAGTTGAAGTCCGGCAGTATCACACCTCCCCCGCCCCCCGCCCATTGCACTAAAACGTTCTCCCCGATCTGGCCTCTTTCAGGCGTCTTGAAAAACTCCCATCAGCCCCTACCAGCACGGTCAGTGACAGGGGATGATGGAGGTTGTAGTCCCACGCATGGAAAGGGCGCCAAGTTAGCGAAGGCTACGCGAAAGCTTGAATCGCCCGTTAGGGCTTGCTCCCAGCTCCCCACCAGGGATCTCCATTCCCACAGCCAGGTCCCCTTCCTTCGTCCCACCCATTCAATTTGGGAACCCGACCGCTGCCTCCCCGTACCGTCACGGAGGCTGCCCTGTCAGAGTGAGGCCCATAAAGACCCCGACACGATTCCTCCCCCACCCCTTCTTACCATGGTGGTCGCTGCCCCGAATTCCTCCTTCCAAACACAGCTAAGGGGTAGCGGGCTCAGCTCCCCACCCCTTACTCTCCTTTCCTGCCAGATATCCGGCGAGCCCCTGAGCAAGCCGGGAATTGTAGTCTAAGAAAGGGAGGGGAGTAACTAGATGCGTTCTACCTCCACGACCCGACATGCAACGGGATAGCCGCGGGGCGTGCCGGGCTTTGTCGTTTCCTAGGGGAACGGGAGGCATATTGTTAGAATGAAGCCGGCTAACTCGGTGCCCGCAGCTTCCAGCAGGGGGAGCACGAGCTACGTGGCGCTCGCCCGAGCCGGGGAATCGCCTGGGAGGACGAAGCCGAGCGTCTCGCACGTCAGCGGCTGAGGGCCTTACTTTAGATCCGCGCTTGGCAAGGCCTAGTAGGCCCTGGATGGACACCTCCGTCACAACGGAAGGAGGAGCCCTCGCCTCAGCGTTAGGGAAACGGAGCCTGGGAACTGGGACAGCGGAGGGAGGAAGACAAGTTCAATATAGGAGCATGCTAATTAGCGTAAGATCATTAAAACGAGGTATTAGTCATTATATAAATATCAGTAAAGGAACACGATATGCTATCATTCCTAACCTGATTACACAGTTATTGCCAAGAACAGCAGCAACAAACATTTCAGGCCACCTTTCCATACAAGCCCCCACGAGGGCTTTAACAAAACCCAAAGAAATAAAATAACAGTCCAAATTTGGACAGCACATCTGGAGGGCAACAGGTTGAGGAAAACAGCTTTATGTGGATTGTGCACTATAATTATCGCATGGCAGGTGAATATTTTGTTGGTTTGGTTTTATATGTGTAAACACGCAATCCTGCCCAAGTTTTTACAGGACAGAAGGCCCAGGCAGGCAGGCAGGATGCACCCATCTTCCCATGCACCCCTCCCCAACCTCAGATCTTCCAGAGGAGTTGGACTACTATTCCCACCATCCCCCCAGGATGGCTGGGGATGGAAACGCTGTAATCCAATGCATCTGGGTGCTTGGAAAGGATTTCTAATTCCCAGCTTCACTCCGCTTCCCCCAAAATGTAGGCTTCTGGAATGAGGAAACACGTGTGGAAAACCAGGAGTGGATGACGGGATGTGGGAGACGGTGAGCTCAATCCTGAAAACGGATCTCAAGGGCTGCACAGACCTTTCCCCTTTCCGTACTTGCCCATTCCCAGCCCCCAGCCTCCCTCTCGCTCACCGTACAGCCTCTTTGTCCGGAAGGAAAGCTACGCAGCAGCCCTGAAGGAAAGCTACGGGAGCCATTTCGCGGTGGTGCCCACAAGACCTTTCCCAATTCCCAAAGTGCCCATGGGTCCAGAAGGTGGGAGGCTCCTGTGCCAGATGCTCTGGCATACGGTTCCCATCATTCCTCACTGCTGAGGACGGCCGAAGGCCAATATCTGAGCAGTGGCCGCCTCCCTCTCCTAAGCGCATGGCTACCTCACCCCCAAGCCACTGCTTTGCACTGTATTTCAGTTAGTCTGGGAAAAACAAGCCAAGCCAAAGGAGGTCAACCCCAAATGCCCGAAAGAAGGTGCTCAGTTATGCATTGGCAAGAAAGAAATAGAAAGCTAAACGTCCGCATAAGTTTCCTCTATTCCTCATTTTTTTTAGTTTATAATGTTCAATTTTAGTTGTTTTAATAATTGTAGTTTTAATACTGTATTTCAGAATCTTATATTATGTAAACCGTCCTGAGTGCCTCTGTGGAAGGACGGGATATAAATGCTTGTACTAAATAATAAGTAATAAATAAAATGTCCAACTCTGAATTTACATGTATAGTTTAAAATTTCAAAATAATGACAGTAACATGGGGCACAATCCTGTGCATGCCTAACGAGAAAAAATCCCAGCATGCTGGCTGGGAATGCTGGGAACTGTAGGACTTTTCCCTGTCTACACATGCATAGGATTGCACCCTTAAATAGCAATGCCGTGCAGCCCATCACTGCGTGGACAGCCGTGACCGGGGGATCTGCAGACCAAATGCTGACTATGGAAGGGTGATTCAAGGCCCATGCAGATTCCACCCCCTCCTTAGGGTGCGCCATCCTTGAACTGGCCTTGGACTGGACAAGCCTTCCAAGAGACGACACCTTCTCACAAAAAGAAGCGCATCCTCAGTGAAGGAGGAGACACGGCCACCCTGGCTTGATGTCCACCCACCCCTGCAACGCAGCACCGTGGCTGAGATGAGCGAGGGAAGAAGCGGGTCCCTGAGGAGGGTGGAAGAAATGGCTTCGGCGTCGATCGCCAGCCTGTCACCCTGCAGCCGGGAAGCCTGGTGTTGACTCCCGCAGCGAGTCAAAAGCTGCTAATTGTTGGTTCTATTTTTGGAGTGTCCCGGCGCGGGGCTGGCATTCAGCACGGAGGTGTCTCGGATAAGCGTCTGCTTCCCCGCATCAGCTGACAGCTGCCTCCCTCTCTCTCTCGTTTCGGTTGTTTGTTCACCAAAGCTGGAAGGAAGGACTTCTGTAAAACAGATGCTGCTCAGTCTGAGGCACTGTTCACCTTTCAGGTGTGGCCCTGGGCACCGGCAAGCCCCTCGGTTTGGGGGCAGGGCAGGCACCCACGGCAGGTGCTATCGTTTCAGCCCTTGAGTTGCTGGGATCACGTGTTGGAGGCTCTGGGAAACGCCAGGCACCGATGGGCCCTGGCAGTCTTCCAGCAGCGTTATGAGCCATTCAGTGCTGCAGAGGGGCTGTGGCTCTCCGGGGGCGCATGCTCTGCGTGTGGCAGGTCCGGGCACTGCCTCTTCCCGTCGTGTGAAGGCAGATCATCATGCCAGGGAAGGCCGATGGCCGAAGCCAAATGGAAGACCAAGCAGGAGATGGAACATGATGGCACAGCTTTCAGAATTCAAGGGCCGTCGGGCTACTTGGGAAAAGGATCGAGCTGGGAGGACAGAACCGCCTTTGCCAGGACACTCCAAGCACAGACTTTGTGTCACTCCAACCCCCCCGCTCCCCATCATGCACTTTCCAAGCTGCAGCCTCTTCTTTCCATTCACAGATGGAGCAAGACAGAGGCCACAATTAGCAAATGCTCCAAGGAGGCACCGTGGTTTGGAGCCAGCAGCCCCCTTGTTTCAAGAAGAGATGGCCTGGGGGAAAGAGAAAAATTGACGGTTATTCTGTATAATTGTGTTATTTCTGTAACAGAACAGAAATGATGCCTCACGCCAACCCTGTGGAGGGGCACCCAGGGCCTGCCCCCCCCCGTTTTGCTCCCCTTCCCCCCTCTGGGATTCCAGGGTGCTGAATGGGTCCCATTTGGTCAGTTCTTTTGCTTGCTTAAGATCCTGGGCAAGGGTTCAGGCACAGGAAAGAGTTCAGATCTCACTGGCCAGGAGTCTGAATGGGAAATATTGACTTAAGTCCTTGCAGCAGGCAAAGGTCACTGGAAGCAAATGACTTAACAAATACGGACAACTGTCCTTCCACCACCAGCAGGACAGCCTCTCCTGGGATTGTGACCCGTTCCTTGTTCTTGCTTTGCAAGGATCTTCTTTGGGCACTCACTCGTTTGGATGGGTGTCTCCCCTGCTCATTCCCCCCCCCCCATACCAGATTTCAAAATGTCTGAGGTAACACTGCAAAACTAGCAGCGATGCAAACACCTCCAGCCTGCCTCCCTTCTCAGCCCAGTGGAGGAGACAAACCAGATTCATTCAGCTGCAGGGGACCTCACCAGAGAACCCTTTCCTGTTGCATCATCCCGTAAGATGATGGACTGATTCTTAGCCCCACGGGGCCAAAGATGGGGATGCCGGTCATTGGTTCTGAATCTTGAGTAATAATTTCTATTCTTGCCTGTTTTTCTAGCATGTGTGTTGTTCAGCTGTTGGAAATAATACCAGAGCCCTCAAATCCAAACGAAAAAGCTCCAACTGGAAATCGTAACTCAAAATAAAAATGCATTTCCTGCCTGCCTAAATACTGTTGGGCACGTGGCTAATCGCATGTCCTTCAGGAGGGAACTCCGCAGCCGCGGTGCTGCCACAAACGCAATTGCCTGGCATTCTCACGACTGCGCTTCTTCTGGAGCTTGGGCACCCGCAGATCATCTCGTCTCATCGGCCGGTCCGCATGGGGAGAGGAGACCTTTCAGATACCTTTCCATTAGGGAAACCCTTTGCATGTTTAGGCAGAAAACGGTCCAGCGCTGGATTGTTTCCCCTATCTAAGCATGTGCAGGATTGTGCCCTTGGCTCCTTAGGGCTTTATAGCTGAGCACCACCCCTGGACCAACCTGGGCCCAGTGACATGAACTGGAAGCCAGCACAGGTTTGTGCCAGGTTGCCCAGAAGTGACCCGGAGGCTGCGCAGCGCCCCAGCCGTTGTCTCCGAGAGCTTTTCGGGAGCAGCTCCACACAGAGGGCATCGCAGCAAGGACATGGCCGGGCCGTGCTTCGGTGTGGTCACAACCACCTTTCCCGGGAAAAGCAGGGCGCGCTGAAGCTCTGTGGAAGCGTGGCCAGCCATGGCAGCCCCCTGCGCACCGGGGAGCACGGCGGGCCCTGGAGCACCACCAAGTCGGACGGCCTCCCCAGCATCCCGAAAGAACACTACGTTTCCGACTCGCCATCGCTTCCATTTCCTTATATGATCCACTTCTTCCCAGCATCTCTTCTCCTCGAGCCCGAGGTGGAGGTTCGGCTGAGAGGCAGTGACTGGGCCAAGCACCTGATGAGTCCCATGGCCGAAAGGGATCGGCACTCGGCTTCACGGAGTTCGACACTGGCCACCACACCATGCTGGCTTTTAAAGCCGGTGCTGCCATCGCCCATCAGAAGTTCCGACTGGAACCCCCCTTCTCTTTTTCAGAGCTCTTCTTCTCCCCAAATAGTGGGAAAACTTTTGCCACACCTAACATCCCAGAGGGAACTCCCCTGTGTGAGCAAGCAGTTTTTGGTCATCTAGGCGCAGGCCTTTTCCAGGGCCCGGCCCCGTAACTGACAGAGCAAAATGACTGTGTATTCTGCATTAGCATACCCGTTATCTATATTAAGAAACCACATCAATAGCTAGGATGCATTTGCCGTGCTCGTTGCGGCGGAAAGGGTTTGAGGCCCAGCTGTTTCAACAGAACGC